GTTGAAACCAACTACAGTTGTTCTCACCCTTGCGAAGTTATAAACACATGGTCTGTTCTGTAACTAACTTTATATCTCACAATTGCTTTATTTCTTATATTTGCAGTGTGTTTAGACCACAATTACAAGCCACTTGGCGAGCTACATTCGTAAAATATACAGTTTGACTAACAAGCTAATTGCTACAAGCTAAAGCTCATACTGTAATACTTTCTCAGGCCGATCAAATTTTGAATTTTAAACTAAAGTTTTGTAATATCAAAATTACTGATTACCATATTTTTACCATGTCATATTTTATTTCCTATTGTAGCTCCATGGCAATCTACTGTAAAACCAAAGAGGCTGTTTTCTTGAGGCCTCATAAGAACATTGTTTCTGGGGAGAGCTTTGATTGACACGTTTTTTGCGTGTTTGGTGTATCTTTAACTGCTGGTTTGTCTGTCTGTCTCATACAATATGCTCGTGGAGGATGGCTCTGGTCTTAAATTGGATCACAGCAGGCGTCACAAGAGACCGCTTATCGGACTCAGCTATCATGATGATGAAGTAAGAAAGGTAAAAAGAGAGGGATCGTAGTGTACCCACTGAAAGGAAAGGGGAGGGCTGGTGTCAATTCAATCCTTTTCCCCTGCATGTTAAGTGTCTTTAATACTGGTGAAACGATACCGAGGCAACACTTTGCCCATTTTTAGCAGTGTGATTCCCTTCGGCTATCACGTATTGCTGCTATTCTACCCTAAACCCCAGGGGCCACATAGTCTCGTGTACATCTGATCTGCAAACAGTCATTAACCCTGTCGCCTCTGTCACCCCTTCACCTAACCTTCACTGCGATCTTAACCTGCCTATGACAGCAGTCCTGGATTAACAATTAATCTCAATTTAAGGCAGTGCAGACAGTAACTCAATCCTGAGGCTAACACTAATGGGTCTTGAAGAGGGCCTGAGAATGCAGAAATCATTCATGAGGAGCGCTTGGGAAAGACTTATCAATGAAATGATTCATAACTAATGACCAAGGGTGGATCATGGCAAGGTGAATGAATGACAGTGGGACTGTGCACCTTTGGATCTGGACTGGGTCTTCATTTTGTATTGTGTGATTTATGGCGACACACATCTCTGAGTAACTTACAGGGCTATTATAGTTAACTAAAACTAAATTAGAACCATAAAAAAAAAAAACATTTCCGTTGCTTGAAATAAAATGAATGTTAACTGAAATAAAATAAAATTCATCTAGATGCCAAGGCAACATTTCTCATGTTCATTTAGTTTAACTTAATCTAGGCCTACTAAAATAACTAAAACAAAATATAAATGAATAAATAGGCCTACTATAGATATATTTAAATAAATGAAAACGAATAAAAATATCAAAAACACACAACAAAATGACCGAAACTTACTAAAACAATTATAAACTACTTCTAAATGAGAGAGAGAGAGAGAGAGGGGGAACAAATAAAACAAAACCACGTTCAATTGAACTGATTCCATGCAACGGCAGTCTTAAAACTACAACTCCACTCATGCATTGGAACCATACAAGCGTTCAGACGCGCCTATAATGAACACGGGGGTAAACATGTTCTTTTTAGAAAACGGTCAGAGTACATTCCCTCCAAAACTGCACAAGCTCATAAATAAAGTCTAATTGTACCAATTTACAACAATACCGATTGCAGTGAACTGATTGCAAAACGCACAACAGAATTTCTTTCTGCCTCATTCGCAAAATTGGTCTGATCTCGATCAGTCCACATGATTAATACACGGGGGACGGCGAGAAAAATATTGAACAGTTACAGAAACAGTGTCAGACATTTATTAGGTTTACCTTGCCTAAATGCCATCTATATAACTAAAAATACAAACCAATTCTATAATATCACTAGTAACGTAAACATTTCGTAAAAATCACGTACTTGTTTTAGCCCGACCCCCCCTATTTTCCACACATGCCCTGCGCGAGTCGACTCAGGCTGTCCCTCTTTGTCCGGCAACGAGCAGGCCGTAATTAACATGGCCAATTTCGCGTTTGGGGATAAATATTAAATCGTAAGTCTATTTGACATTGATTGTTTGTCATATGCGGGTTGACATCCATGTCTTGATGCAACAGTCAGGTGTATATGAATGAGCTGTGTGAGCAACGTTTACCGTCTTTACCTTGCTTGCTGATGGCTAAACCGCTAACTAATGGTAGCTAGATCGCGAATTCAAATCACGTTTGAATTAAATTCAAACGCTTATCGCGTTATTTACAGTCTCACCGCACTTTCGAATCGAACGCAGTTTAAAATGGGGAGCAGAGCTCGGTGTGCTTGCATCTAAATGTCATTTAGACGGCCGTCCAGGTAGAAACACATCTGTATGTGCTCACATTGCAGGCAGGCAGATGTGTATTCACATTCAGTCCATCCCAATTACTTCTGATCACAGCTGGTTTGCGTGCTTGCAAAGATCTTTTGATCAATAACTCAACATTTTCAGACATATCTGCGATGCTCATCCAGATCGCGTTATTATTTGGGGGTGCATGCGTTTAAACGTGCAGAAAATGATAAATCTGACTCAAACCATTAATGCATCCTTCAGACATGTTGCTGAGTAGGTGCCTGGTCTCATTGGCCCATCGGTACAGTTAAAATTAAGCATTTCACGTGCAATTCCTGGGGCTGCGGGGTGATACTCGTTGGACCCGTGGAGGCTTTTGTCAAATAAACTAATTTCTGTAAATGAACGGTGTCATGGCACCGCACCGACAGTCATTTTAATGGCGGGACAGCAGGCGGGACAGACTCAAGGAAAACGAGGCAAAGGTAGGAAACTGTCAGTCAGCGCATCTCTGTGTCCGAGCGGGGATCCACACAGCTCTGGCTGCAAATCTCCCTTTTCCCTGTCCGCACATGCCTGAATGTACGGTGGCCTTGTTTACGTGGGGATCTGTCTTTGGGTAGCTTTGTGTCAACCTCGCACCACTTGTCTATTCACACGTGTCCGTTTGGGTTTTAGTTTATTTTTTTTTTTTTTTACACGCATTGCATTCAACTCTTTTCCAACTTATTTGCACTAAAAGCAAGCCTCTTATCTTGGGATCAGGGTTTGGGATCTCTAAAGGGTTGCATAAAAATTCATCAGCTGTAAAGTTTGTTAAGAGAGAGACCGATATTGCCTTTTTAAGACCGATTGTCTTTTAGTGTCTGATAACCGATTTGCAATTTTTAAATACTTCTTTAATACTCCTTTTATTTCTGCTTTCTGACAAAATTAGACTACAATTAAATGAGATATTTAATATTTTTTATAACAATTTAAACAAATATTTATTGTGCTATGATATTTATCATTTACCCCCCCCAATTGTCCAGATTTATTTTTAGATTTATTTTGGGCTGTGTAGTTGTAAATCTAAATTTTTTGACTTGAAAATGAATGGATGTATTGGATAGTAATAATAATAGCTTATTATTTATTAATTGTTATTATTATTTAAATATGCCGTTAAGTGGCATTCTGTGAATAGTAATTAGGTGCTAGTCTTTAGAGCAGGGCTCCTCAAGTCTGACACACGAGATCCACTTTCCTGCAGAGTTTAGCTCTAACCCTAATCAAACACACCTGAGCAAGCTAATCAATGTCTTCAGGATCATAAGAAAATCACAGGTAGGTGAGTTTGATCAGGGTTGGAGCTAAACTCTCCAGCGCATTGGCCCTCCAGGGCTAGATTTAAGGAACCATGCTTTAGAGCAGTGATCCTCAAATCTGGCTCGCGAGATCCATTTTCCTGCAGAGTTTAGCTCCAACCCTAATCAAACAAACCTAGCTGTGATTTTCTAATGATTCTGAAGACATTGAAAAGCAAACTCAGGTGTGTTTGATTAGGGTTAGAGCTAAACTCTACAGGAAAGTGGATCTCGCGAGCCAGATTTGAGGATCACTGCTTTAGAGACTGACCAAATGGCACCATATATCAGCAGACCAAATCTTACAGTATATTCATAAAAATATTGGTCAAACCGATTATCGGTCTATCTTTAGTCTTCAGTTTCTTGTCATAATGTTTAATAATGTTGGATACACTTTGATCATCTAGGTTTAATTGTTTATTATTATTATTATGGTTTGATTTAATTGGTTCTCAAGAAACATGTAGGCTATTTATTGGAGGTACTGAGCTGTGTGGTTGTAAAATTGAGTTGGTTCCACACAGTTAGAAATTAAAAACGCGATTTAGACTAAAGCTATTGACGAACCGATTATCGGTCTATCTTTAGTCTTCAGTTTCTTGTCATAATGTTTAATAATGTTGGATACACTTTGATCATCTAGGTTTAATTGTTTATTATTATTATTATTATTATTATGGTTTGATTTAATTGGTTCTCAAGAAACATGTAGGCTATTTATTGGAGGTACTGAGCTGTGTGGTTGTAAAATTGAGTTGGTTCCACACAGTTAGAAATTAAAAACGCGATTTAGACAAAAGCTATTGACACTTACCGGTATATGATATGTTTAACAAAATAGTCAGTGCTCTGCTTTATCTCTTCAAATGCCAGTCAGGTTCACAGTTGATGTTAGCAGTGTGACACAGTGGGCATGTAAATGGCCAATTCCACCTAATCCTTTCCTTCCAAAAATGATCTTGTGCACATTTTGCATCATAAAAAGTTGTCTATGAATGTGCTTTTGGTCTAACTGCTACTTTTCCCCCCTCCCTATTCTTGTTCATTGTTCCCCCTTTCCATTTCTGCTTCCATAGGTTCCCAGATGAAGAGCCCAGAGAAAAAAAAGAGGAAGTCCAACACTCAGGTAAGTTTTTGAATATTTGGTCTTGAATTTTATATGTAGCCTAAAGGAGGAGACTGCACACACCCTTTGAATGATTATTTTGAGTGGATGCCTCAAAAAAAAAAAATGTAGCCTGACTTTGTTGTAATATTTGCAATGGTATTCGTAACTTAGTGGACTTGCTTCCCTCCTTAAGCTAAATGTTAAAAAGAATTGCATTTAATGACAAATTCAGTGCATTAAAAATATTAATAATATGTGGAAGGTTTGGGATGCCTCAGCAACAGCCTCCACATGGACAAGGTGGCCATCCCTTCAACAGCCCACCCTTACCTGGTGGCCCTGGCCCTCGTGGGCCTCTACACGGCCCCATGAACCCTATGGGGGGTATGGGAGGAGGAATGAACATGATGGGCATGGGTGGTGGAGGTGGTGGGGGCAATATGGTGGGTGGTCACACAGGTATGCCTCCGCAAGGACAGTTCCCTCCTCCACAAGATGGCCCATACCCTGGTTCAAGTCCTCCTGTTGGTGAAGAGGGAAAGAACTTTGGTGGTCCAGGTGGTGGTCCACCTGTTCCCTCTCAACAGCAACCACCTAACCTTAATCCCTCCGGTCCTCCATCCAACAATGCCACTCCTGGTCCATCCCCAGCCCCTGGACCCCCACAGCCTGGAGGAGGTTTCCCAGGTCATCCAGATGTCCAACAACCCAACCCTAACACTCCAGGTCAACCCCAGTCAGCTCCTCAGCCTCCCAATCCCAACTCGTCCCCCACAGGCCCACATAATGGTCCCCAGCCTCAACAAGCACCAACCAATCAGCATCCTCCACCCAACTCCACTGGTGGCCCTGGCCCCAACACCCCATCCAACCAGCAACAACCAACGCCACCAAACTCCGCTCCAGGTTCGGCGCCCTACAACCAGCAGAACAACGCTCCTGGAGGTCCAATGCCAAACCAGCCACCCAACTCTAACCAGAACAACCTTAACAACAGCAGTGGTGGCAACACTCCAGGTAGCAACCCCAATCCTCCATCCAACTCTACGCCCAACACCCAGTCCCCACTTCCCAGTGGGCCAGCTCCACCAGCTGCTGGCCCAGGCTCTGGTCCCCCAAAGCTAGGTGGAGGCATGGTGTTCCCTTGTGGCCTCTGCCTGTCTGAAGTCCACGATGACCAAGAAGCCATCTTGTGCGAGGCCTCCTGCCAACGATGGTTTCATAGAGACTGCACAGGCCTAACTGAGCCAGCATATGGGCTGCTAACCAGAGAGAGTGCTGCGGTGTGGGCTTGCGACTTCTGCCTCAAGACAAAGGAGATTCAAGCGGTTTACGTGCGCCAGGGACTGGGACAACTGGTCGCAGCAAATGATGGCTAAAGGATAGAAGAAGATTGGGGAAGAGGGATGTATGATTTATTTCTTGGTGCTTCATGTCTTGTTTCATGGTGAGAAAGTGAAATGGAAGCGAAGAATTAATCCACCAGAGGCGAGCGTGACATGCAGATAAAACTGAACTTCTTAATCTGTTGTTACTTCTTGCATTTGTTTCTTCACAGACCTCATAAGCACTTTTAGGGCCCATGTCTCTGATTAAAAAGCATTGTACCAGATGTTGGAAATGTTTGTGTATATAGAATATCATGATACATTTTCAAAATTCAGCTGTTTTTGATTGATGTTGCACTCATAGGTCTTCATTTCTCCTTGGTGACAAATTTGGAGAAGCAGCTTGATTCTGGCCACAGTACAAAATAAATTTAACCTTTTGTGTGATTATACCCAAGATCAGCCTCCAAAAAACTGTCCAATTTCCTCCCCAAGCCCCCAAATCCAACTTCTTGATCTGCAAAGCACTGACGCCAACTTGCTACCTCAAAATTTTGACATGTCTGGCTAAGAATGCTTTAAGTCAAGAGTGTATAGTCACCACACAACCTCTCCTCTGTGATCTCCATTTCAGTATATCCAAAGGAATATGGCAGCGTCCTGGAAAAGGCATATAATAAGTGTAGATAATCAACATTTCACTGTATGCGTTGTTGAACACATGAGCGATCTGACAGAAATTGGAGTCCTGTGATTCTTTAAACTCTAAGATTGTTTCTCTTCATGTACAGCTGCTCACTGTTCTTGACACAAAGTGGAGAATGATGGCTGGTGGCAGTGCCGATACTGGTAATCCATAACCATATCAGTGTGTGTATGTAGTCTTTGGATTGCATGTGAACCAATGCAGTACTTTGTCAGAGCTGTTTTTAATTGTTACATTTACTGTTCCAGTTTGGCCTCATCCTGGGCTATGAAGTAACCAAATAACAGAACGAAATCAAATGTTGTCACAGAGTGAGATGTTTGCAGTTTCTTCCTTTTTTTTTATTTCTACATTTCTGTCCAAGTTGCCTTTTTCTTGTTACTTTTTATGTACCGGTGTGTATGCTGTTCAATGTGCTTGCTCTGGTGCCCTCCATTCGCCAGCATTGTGCAGTAATATGGGGGGTGTTCTGGCCTCTGGCACTGTACTGAAAGAAGTAAACTGAATTGTTTTTTTACAAGTCTTTTTTGTGAACTTATTATTGTATTAAATATGGGTTTAAAAAAAAAACTAAACTAAGGCATGTAGTTAAAGATACCTTTTTTACATGTTTATTTTCAGCTCGGCAGTCTATAAAGTAATATATAAAAAGGTTTTTAAATATATATTAAAAAGCTGGCATTTTTGTGCTCCTGTCAGTTAAGGTGTTTTAAACAAAACACTTGGAATCATAGTCATTTCATGACTATATTTGTAAGGTCTATAATAATTTCATAAATTTGTAGGGCAACACAGAAGACTAATTCACCATGGTTTCCCTCTGGAATTTCCTATGGGTGTTCAGATTTGAGTAAAATAAAGTCTGTGGTTCACACTATTTTGAGGGTGCATGTTTTGTTGCAGCAAGTTAAATGATCTCAGTCTTGCATTTTGAAGCTTCTCTGTTTTTAAAAGACTTACAAGTTGCTGTGCAAAGACTGCTACAGTTTATAAAACATCAGTTTGAAATCTTGTGGTGTGGTGTTCTCCTTTTAGCAACTTTTTGTAAGGAGCAGTTGTGGCCTAATGGTTAGAGAGTCGGACTTGTAACCCAAAGGTCGTGGGTTTGAGTCTCAATACTACTTGCAGGGATTGTAGGTGGGGGGCGTGAATGACTAGCACTTTCTTCCACCTTCGATACCATGAGGTGAGACCCTTGAGCAAGGCACCGAACCCCCAACTGCTCCCCAGAAGGCACAGCAAAAAAAGGGGAAAAAAGCATGCCCTCTGCTCCAGGTGTGTGTTCACTGCTCAGTGCTGTGTGTGTGTGTGTGCGCGTGCTCTTGGATGGGTTAAATGCAGACCACTAATTCAGAGGACACCATACTTGACTACACATGAGGTGAGACCCTTGAGCAAGGCACCGAACCCCCAACTGCTCCCCAGAAGGCACAGCAAAAAAAAGGGGAAAAAAGCATGCCCTCTGCTCCAGGTGTGTGTTCACTGCTCAGTGCTGTGTGTGTGTGTGTGTGCGTGCTCTTGGATGGGTTAAATGCAGACCACTAATTCAGAGGACACCATACTTGACTACACGTCATGCTAATTTGTTTAAAAACAAAACATAAAAAGTCCCTTCAAGTAATAACCACATTCCTTATTTTACTCAAATAAAACAAACAAAAAGCTGTTGTAAATATCCGAGGAAACTCATGCCTCAAATATGCACATTTTGAGTGTGTAAACTAGTTAGTAATGCTAAAGTAAGCTATGAATGGCTGTATTCATGAAACACGAGCAGAACAGATGTCTAAATCATTCACAGATCAATTATTTTGCAAATGATTAAGACAGAAATTTGTTCTAGTGTTGCAGTTCTAGTGTTTATATATATATATATATATATATAAATTCCATTCATTTATTTATATATATATAAATTCCATTTTTGACACGGAATTATATTCTAATAAACCGACAAATCTGCCAACTAAAACCTTAATAAGAAAGAACGTTAAAACTAAAACTTCTTTGGTTATCTGACTTAAACCACTTATGACTTTATGATAAACGTTTAGCTATTTTTATAGTTAATTTTCACAACATTATTATTGGTTGCATTTTTTTTAGTATGTTGTTTTAAAACATGCAATTTTAACGGGAATAAACAGTGGCATCAAGTTTCTTAAATTGATTAATGGACGGGCCCTGAATTATTTGTATTTGATTGACATTGGCTCTCGGCCAATCACGTGCTCGAATCGGCCGGCCTTGGGACCACTCTCCAGCCAATAAGCGCTCAGAAGGGGCGGATCGATGACGCAAAGGCAACAGGTTGTTTAGTAAAAAACGCACTGACAGTATTGCATGGTCTGTCCATCCTCAGTCTCAACGAGGAGTTTTTAATTGAGACTAAACTTAAAAAGAGCTTCTTTATTATTTTGTGCCTTGTGAAGGTCAATGCTAAAGGTTTCGGAAAACAGGTAAGCAGAAGGAATGTTTTTGTTTACCCAGCGTGTTTGTTTTTGTTGCTGTTCATGGCTGCGGGTTTGTGTCCAGCCTTTCAGTTGTTATAATCCGTAATCACATGGCTTCACAGTTACGCTGGAGTTCTGCTGAGCGAAGCAAAGAAACACCTGTTGCTTTGTGTCTAAAGCTGCAGGCTGGATTACAGAAGATGCGCTGACCAGGTCGGCGTCTCTCCTCTATGAAATAATAAAGTCAGTATGACTGACCTGCGTTGATCTCAGTAGGACCGATCAGCATATGTCTAAAGCTGCAGGCTGGATTACAGAAGATGCGCTGACCAGGTCGGCGTCTCTCCTCTATGAAATAATATAAAGTCAGTATGACTGACCTGCGTTGATCTCAGTAGGACCGATCAGCATCATTTTTGTATATTATATATTGACAAAGATGCGAATTTTAAATATCCCACATGATTTAAAGGGAGTTTTGGTCGCATAGGTGAACGGTGTACCTTGTTGTCTATATCTTTACAAAGTCAAAGAACAACACAGCTAAACAATCAGTCAAAACTGTAGCCATAAAACATTCATTGTATTATTAATGTAACGTTAACCCTGTATATTAAAATAACATGCTGGTTTCGATCCCACCGATACCGACTGACTTGCTGGGTGGGTGTGACGCAATAAAAAAAAAATTCAAAAAAAAATTCAAAAAAAAAAAAGTTTCATTCTGCACCTTTGCTTGTGCTACCTCGTCTCTCTCTCTCCCTAGTCATATCTGTGAATAGAGAAACTTATGGACAAAAACGGCTCCTCTAAACAGCGCCCGTCTCAGTGTAATTTAATATTTATCTCTTGGTTATTTCCAACACTGCAACTAGAACATAGTAGAGTCAGTGTAATTGACACAATAACTCAAAGCTAGCCTCAAACCCAAATTCTAACCTGCCCTAAATAGTGTAGTAAACTGGCACATAAAATATAAATAATTAAACTATGAAATAATGACAATGAATAAGTACAGAAAAGATGTAGTCCTCATTGGCATATGCATACTCCTATGGATTGAATTTTACTTTTTTTTTTTAATGGGCTATTTAAAGTGTTGATTTCAAAATGAATATTGTTTTGTTTTTGTTTATGTGCTTGTATATCAGTTAATCAAACTACTGTATTTTGTCAACAACAACTAGCCAAAGGCTATCATCTTACTTTATGACAATAAGGAAAGAGCATATATATATATATCCAGTTATGACATAAAGACCCTGATATATATATCCAGTTATGACATATAGACCCTGATATATATATCCAGTTATGACATATAGACCCTGATATATATATCCAGTTATGACATATAGACCCTGATATAAGCTTACATTTTTGTGATTGTCTGTTTAAGGTGACAAGAATAACTCTATCGATATAACACTTTAAAAATGAATGTCATTGCATTAAATTACAAAACATCAAAGTAGAGAATTGTATTAAAATACAATTTATTGCTATTAAAATCCATATTTATGAATAGCAGTTTGTGGAATATGCTCATGTTCAGGTGGTTATTCTGCTCTGACACCTGTGCGAACTTGAGGAGAATTTACTTCAGACATCCAACTAAAAATAACCATGGGACAAGTTGGGGAAAAGTAATTAAAACAATGGCTCAGAATTTTTTTTTTTTAATAAGTTGGTTAGAGAAATGGTCTAGCATAATTTTCACATAGTAAAGATGCCACTTGGTTAAAAGAGTCTACATTTTGGGGCCCATGTAAATTTTCTATTCTGTGTGTATATATATATTTTTTTTAGAAGAATTTGTCACTTGTATGTTGTCTTAAGAAGAATCTTAAGTCAAATATGTACAGTTAAAAATTTACAGTTTTCACATAATTAATCTGCTCCTTAAACCAATGAGAAATCACATGGTGGGTTCCATTTCGCAGGAATGCTTGGAATCCCGCCTATGTGAGGACTACAATGGCTGACTTTGAGTAGCTAATCACACCTAATGGCTCAACAGAAGCGCTGACAGTTATAATGTAACCAAATGCCCGTTTCAAGAAGTTATTCATTGATAGACCCGAGTTTGTGGTCTGTTATTTTAGTTCTCAATGTCTTCACAATTCTTGCCCCCCCCAGCATTATGCTGGTGCATTATAAGTCTGTGTTTAACACAGGATGCAACGTAATACTTCATGCACATAGCAGTTGTTGTATAATTGTTGACATATAGAGATTGCAGAAAGAAATTAGCTTCAAGACTTCAAGTAGCACACACAGTCTTATGAGGTGGTAAAACGAGGGCTTTAAATGATGCCCTGCATAACTCTGGATGTTTTCTGCATCACTTGCTTTGTACAATAGAGCACATATGCATCTGTTTAAACACCAGTAACTCAGTTAATCAGCAGATTAGACTCAGCATCTTTGATCGTTCATGCAAACATGCTATGTGGCGCTTTGATGTGATACGAGGAATGTTCCTATCACAGTGATAAGCTGTTTTTGAGCTAATGTTAGCTCTCCTGTGTAATGGAACTGTGTTCTAGGAAAACGGGAAGACAGGAAGCAGAGTGGAATGCGCTAGAACCTGCTCCTACCAGCAGGCACACCTGTTTGCCACACACAAACAATATCTTTCTCTATTCTAATGTGAGAAGACTCACATTGCATGTACAAAACTGCTTCATATGTGACACTATATCATGGAGCAGTTTGTTAAAGGGTCTCTTGGGAAATTAGTAGTAGTAATTAGTAGTCCAAAACATATTTGAAAGGTGAGCCCAGATGGAATCTGCAAAACAGCATCAAGTCTGATAGGACTGAAGTATGTACAGAAATATAAAATATTTGCAGGTCGATGCTGAATTTCTCATCTTTTTCTGAAAAAGCTTAGATGCTTGAATGAATTGCTTGCCATTCTGGCAGTAAAAAAATCTACCTTAATACAAAAAGATATAGAAGTAGTATTCCGTATGTTTTTTGTGTTCACAGTGTTAATTTTAGTTTTAGTAATTTTGGTACTATAGCTTATTTTATTTTCTTTAGTTGCCAAGCCAACATTTTTAGCAATTTCAAAAATTTGTTTATTTCTTTAATATACTGTAGTAATTTTTAAATTTAATTTAATTTCAGTTTTATGTCAAGTAACAACACATGTTTTTTGTTTTAAAAATTTCTTGTGAATGTTTTGTGGGCCCTAAACTCCATGCCATGTTTACATGAATCACAGGTACGTTCAATGGGTTGTAAAGCTTTATAACCAACGTCGGATTGTTTAGCTGACTTAGCATTGAAAAAAACCTCTTTGCAAAGAATTTCCAGTAGACAAAAAAACCCAGAGAATGTAGGTTGCGAAATTAAGTGTGACTTCCTGTAGAACCTAAAAATTATGCAATCTTTTGATCAGACTGTTAATCTATCCCACACAGCCTTGTTTTCATTTGAAAATTTAAATATAGAGTCTACCATGATTTGGATGTCACTGTGTGATAAAATCACTTACTAATCTTGTCTGTGGAAAGCTATTCAGTCTTTTAATTCCTGACACAACCATGTTAAGTCAGTAAACCCTGTAAATTTCATATAATGCATACAAGATATTTTTTACAGGATTTACGTCGGTAATGTGAAGCCTGTTCTGCTGCCTTGAACAGTAGCCCTGCCACTACAAGGATGATTTATTAAATAACTTAAAAGATCATAAGACACACATTTTAACACAAGTGGTTTGATGAAAATATGAGCTTCTGCTTCCGTTTCTGCTTTTAAACCCATAGACTTCAGTTGTAAATGCATTAGTGTAAGTGTGAATTTTCTTTGCTAATCAACAACATGCTGTCAGTAGAGCTTTATTTGTTTCAAAGCCGGATCACTACATTAATTGTTAAAACTCATTGGGGTTTTGTGCTTCACACGGTCCGCAGATCTTAGTGACTGACAGCAATATGAAGACTGAACTGGAGCAGGCGTTCAACAAAAACACACAATTACAGCAACTCCTGGACAAGGCCAAGAGAGAACTGCGGGAAAACCAGGACCAGTGAGTCTCTGTTTGCATCATTAACATCAGAACAAAGCAATTTCCAACAGAAAATAGAACCCTGTGGAGTTTGTGTAATAGGTTCCTTCTGTCTTCAGAATGGTAGAACTGCGTATGGATAGAGAGGTAGCAGAGTCTCGCTTACGGCAGCAGGAGGATCAGCTAGCTCAGCTCCAGGAGGAGCTCAGACGAACGCTGGAAAACTCCCCTCAGTCCGACACAATGCAGCTAGTACGCACACAAACAAACAACATACAGAATGATTGTGGTGTCTGCCATTATTGACCCTTACTCCGCCTTTTTAATGCTTTAAATTCCTAACAACATATTGCACCAAGACGTGTGAATTACTAAGTGTATTATTCATTGTTTAAAGTGTAAATAAACACAAACCCGTATCTACACACACATTGGTGATGTCAAAAGTATCGATGTCGGTACTGAAATTTTAAATGTGATGATACCAGCATTTCCCGCTAGCATTTTGAGCCCTGTTGTGCAGACTCTCAAACACCTCTGACTGGCCATTGTTCACATGGTCAACAGATATGTCTGTAATTGGCTACAATAATCATTGCTTCACGCTCTTCACTGAGAGCTCAAAATGCTAGCGGGAAATGCTGGTATCGTCACATTTTTTAAATTTCAGTACCGACATTGGGACTTTTGACGACACTAACACGCATACAGAACTAAATAAACACACCTACTCATTATGTATTATGACTATTTTGCAGAATTTAAAAACAGTAAAGTCATCACATCATGGATTAACTTACATGCAGTTATGGGAATTATGAAGTGACCAAAAATTTGCCACTCTGCCACCCAAAGTTGCTTTTCCAACTCATTTGCTCCAACTTATCAGTTAAAAAATAGAACATTGTTATTTTTTTAAATTTGTAGTTTTGTAAATACATTTATGTTGCATACATATTTCCCTTAAACACTGTTTTTCTCTGCAGGACTTGATGACGGTGCAGGCAGAGCTGTCAGAGTCTCTGATGCTGAAGCAGAAACTGGAGGACACACTGAGGCAGAGAGAGCGAGAGCTCACCGCTCTGAAAGGGGCCCTGAAGGATGAGGTGGAGTCCCATGATAAAGAGATAGAGGCCCTGAGAGAGCAGTACAGTCAAGACATGGATGCCCTTCGTCACAGCATGGAGACTGTCTCACAGGTGAACATGCACTACAATGCCTGTGTCTCACGTTCCAAGTCCCTGCCTTGCAGGGATTAACATGGAAGAGAAATGTTTTATCACTTGTCACATCATGCCTGATACCTAGGCTGGATCGATTCAGATGTGTGATCTGTTTTGTTGTCCAAACTGTTGTGAGAAGAACTTTTAAGCATCTTGAATGAGTGCAAAGTACAGAATTGAAATTTTCTCTGATACCTGTTGTCTTTTTCTCTGGCCTTATCCACAGTCTCAGCTGGAAATCGAGGAGGAGCGTCAGAAGGTGAATGCCTCCATCCTGGCTCTGGAGGAGGAGCTGGAGGGGTACAAAGAGCAGAGCGACCAATGGAAGAAGCAGCTTAGCTCCACCAACCGAGAGTAAGCTCTGACACATGAAACATCAAGTTTTGAAATATTTATATGGTGATGGCAAAATTTTACATGACGGTAGCCATTGGTGATGTGATGTGGATGGATCCAATGACAAAGTTGAGAAGTGTTTAATTTTATGCAGATGAGCAGTGAAGGCCACCAGTAACGTTAGGGCATCCAACATTAGGAACAGCCACTATGGATAATAACCACCAGAGTTAAAATTACAGTATTTTAGCAACGTATGTTCATATCTATGCCACCTTAATTACATAGAACATTGTTTTTTAATTTCCTAAGGTGTTTTATAAGATCTTAATGTGTTGTTCCAATGTTCAAATCCATATTTGTCTAAGGAGTTAAGAGACTCATCTGTGATCATATTCAAACAACCTTGTGACCAACACCCTTTGTTAACATTCAGTGCTATCTTGAGGACTTCAGTACATATGATGAATGTTTGGCTAGAATTTTGTCTTCTGGTCCTGTAGGCTAAAAGGTCCACATTTCATTTGCCTGATGTGATACTTTAAAGATAGATACTGTTATTATCCTGCATCCAGTTCACACTCACATTTGAGACTGCACTTTATTTTTAATGATATTCAATGCCATTCAAAATTTTAGGGTCTTTCAGATCTCTTATGCTCACCAAAGCTTGTGATATTTCACAATAAAGTCTTTTCTATTTGAATATAATTTGAAATGTAACTTATTGCTGGCATTACTCCAGTCTTCAGTGTCACGTGATCCATCAGAAATCATTCTAATATGCTGATTTGCTGCCCAAGAAACATTTCTTATTGGCACTGTTGAAAACCATATGGCTGATTCTTTGAATAGAAAGTTCAAAAGAATAGTATTTTTTTAAATTCATAATGGACTTCACTATCATTTGACTTGACTTTTGATAAATGTAATGCATCCTTGCTGAATACAATGTATGATGAGAACAGAGATGTTTTAAAGGACATTTGAGTTTTTTTAGAGCAGGATTTGACTCTAATTAAATCTCATAATCATGTCCCACCGGTTTCATTATCTGTTTTATATGTTGTCTTTGTTTGTCTGCATTTTATGTGTTTTATGATTTTCATGCTATGTGTTCATGTCTGTTGTGTTTGTTCAATGTTTATTGTTGTCTTTCTGTTGCATGTGTTCACTTCTGGTTCTTGTCTGCCAGGCTGGGGCAGTGCAGCGCATTTCAAAAGTGAGACAGAGTCCTGTAGATGCACAACTACTGACACCTTAGGCAGAAATTAATCATCAGTTAACTATGATTGATTAAGTGTTTTGGTGTAAAATCTTTCGCCCTAAAATAGAATCTAATATCCTGGTTTCAATTTGGCTGCAAGTTATAAAATCTTAAAATTTTTTTAAAAAAATCAGCGATTTAATTAAGACTAATCAAAATAAAATCCTTTAATCTCACTGTCTGAGCTGATGCATCAAATACAATAACATAGTACTTCTATTAATATGGCAAATGTTCTTGTGCAGGTGATCAAAATTGACGCTCAAATGAATCTTGATCAAATCTTTTCTTATGTCATGAATCATTTTAGTTCTGATTCTGAAATAACACCGATCCTTCTCTAGGATGTTGATTCTTCTACTGGATGAAATCATTGTAGTGGATAGCTGCACTAACATTGAATGTGATATTGTGTGTTGGTGTGTTCTAATTAGTGCTTGTCTCATTGGACAGGCTGCTGCAGGCACAGCAGGAGAAGGAGGAACTGGAAGAGAAGCTGCTCACAGTTAAGAAACAAACTGATGAAACTGATTCAAACTCTTTAATGAAGGTAAGATACAAATAGAAGTGCCACAATCAGTTTTCTGTCGTCTTTGGTTCAAAAAGATTTACTGTGACACCTAACTGTGAATGCTGAATTTTAAGACATAGATATGTTTTTTAGCCTGGTATAAAAGTTACTTTGCATTTTGCAGCAGTTGCAGCAGTGCCGATATGATTTGAAGAAAGCTCTTTCAGAAGTGGAAAAACAAAAAGCAGAGGCAGCAAAAAGGGAAGAGGAGCTTAAATCAGTATCAAGAGCCAATGAGAATCGAGAGGAGGAGCTGAAGGCAGAGATTGACAGACTAATAGATCAGTCAAAGAAAGACAAAGAGGAACTTGCAAAAGTACTGGAGAAAACACAACAGGTAATTCTTGAAATGATGATAATTAAAACCAGGGTGAATTAAATCTAAAATTGTCTTTACCCGGCGTATTTAGAAAATGCCACCCACACTAAATCTCATTGATCTCACTTGACATGCTGAATTTTAAAGAGGAAATATGTTCTGATGTACTGGAAAAAAATTTTTTTTTCGCTTTATACAGCTTTTCACTTTCCTTGAGGAAAAGAAAAAGTACTGTAAATTTAATATTTGTTCCCTTATTCTATTTACTTCCTGTTTGTGTAGTCCTCCACATCAGCGCAATCTCAAGAAAGCAACCTAGAACTTCAAGAGGCCAATGCTCGCTTAAGAGAGAGAATAGCACGCATGGTAAAACATCCCTAAAAATCCAAAATAGCCTTTTGCATTTAAGCATTTTGCTTTAAAAATGATTTGCATAACCATTTATCTCTTCTGCTCTAGTTTAGTCTTCTATGTACAATGAATGTATTTTCTTTTAACCCTCTTTTCCTCTTCATTTCCAGACTCGCCTGCACTCCAGTGTTCCTGAAAGCTCCTCCGATGTTCTGGAGGATGAGAACCGGAGCCTGAGGAACCAGCTGGAGGAGTCCCGGCGTGCAGCTTCTCGACTGGGTCAGGAGAAAGAGGAGCTCAACAGACGGCTGGAGGAGAGGGAGAGAGAGAGGGAAGCGCTAAGACGTGGCAAGAGCGACCTGGAGGAGCAGAAGAGACTGCTGGACCGAGCACTGGAGAAGATCAATAAGGAGGTGAATATTTTTTTTTTTTTTTTTCTTTGTTCAGTTAAAAAATGCTTTTATTTATTATGTTTATATTTTTTCAATTTATAATTATTTACATAATGTATACATATGCTGCTGTTAAAATTTTGGGGTTGGTACAATATTTTTTTAAATGTTTTTGAAAGAAGTCTCTTACGCTCAGGTTGCATTTATTTGATTACAAATACAGTAAAAACAGCAATATTGTGAAATATCATTACAAATAAAAATAGCTGTTTTCTATGTACATATATTTTCAAATGTAATTTATTCATGTGATGCATTATTACTCCAGTCTTCAGTGTCACATGAGCCTTCAGAAATCCTTCTGATATGCTGATTTGCTGTGCAGAAACATTTCTTATTTTGATCAATGTTGAAAATACTCGTGCTGCTTCATTTTAATTTTTGTGGAAACTGCGATAGATTTTTTCAGGATTCCTTGAATAGAAGGTTTAACAGCATTTATTTGAAATAGAAATATTTTCATTGTTTTTTTATGTTCTTCATTTCTTTCTATCAGGTGGAGACTATGATGGGAGATTCACGTCAGTCGGTGCAGGTTCTTCAGTCTCAGTTGGATGAATTCAGAGATCGTTCTCGTAGAGAGCTGCAGGACGCTCAGAGACTCTGTAAGGACAGGCTGGTTGAGCTACAGAGAGCGCAGGCCCTCCTAAAGACCACTCAGGAGGAGGTGAGACAGACCATGTTTCACTACATACACATAATGCTAAAGTACAACATAGTGTTTATAATGCAAAAATCAGTAATTCTTACATCCTTCATGAAAACCAAGACACTATCTGTGAGAATATTCCCACTGCTCTTATAACCTTTCAGTTCAGAACTCTGATCACACCATAGATAAGATACTCAGTGCTTTGTTCTGTGTGTTTCTCAGGTGTCTCGTCTGAAGAAAGAACTGCTTACATGCTCAGAGGAGAGGGACAGCGCTCAGCTGGATAAAGAGCTGCTGAGCAGCCGTCTCAAACACCTGGAGAATGAGCTGGAGACGGAGAGAAGTTCACAGACGGACCGCAGCAGAGAGATCCGTCTAATAGAGGTAACCGTGTATGTTTGGCACCTGGACTTTTGAGTGAAACCAACTCGACAGCACCCAGTCTCTTTTTAGGGGCTTCATTGAATGTCTATGTGATCAAGAGTAACAGGAAAGAAGAACAGGGAGATGCTTATAGTGTTGTTTCAGTGATGTTTGTTAATGTACCTTTTACCTTCATAAAACTGTTTCAGGACAAAGTGAAGACATTAGAGATCAAGTTGGATGAGGAGAAGAGTGGAGCAGAGCTCCTAAATGAACGCATCGCTCGCAGTCGAGAGCAGGTACACAGACGCACATTAGTTAAAGGCTGCTTTTTATTTGTCATATTTATGTTTGCAAGCACAAGCTATACACAAGCAAGGATATAGATTTCATTTTTAATTTTTTTTTTCTAGGTGGATCAGCTCCGTTCTGAACTGATGCAGGAACGTTCAGCCAGACATGATCTTGAGATGGATAAGAGCGCACTAGAGAGACAGGTACACACAGATACCTTTCTAATAGACTTGGTTCTAAATTAAGATTATTATAATTGCTTTAACAAGCATTGATCTGAAATAGTATAGTAATGGAGTTTAACCCCAGATTTATTTCATCATATGTGACCCTGGAGCACAAAACCAGTCTTAAGTCGCTGGGGTATATTTGTAGCAATAGTCAAAAATGTATTGTATGGGTCAAAATGATTGATTTTTCTTTTATGCCAAAAATCATTAGGATATTAAGTAAAGATCATGTTCCATGAAGATATTTTGTAAATTTCCTACTGTAAATATATTAAAACTTAATTTTTGATTAGTAATATGCATTGCTAAGAACTTAATTTGGACAAATTTAAAGTCGTTTTTCTCAATATTTTGAATTTTTTGCACCTTCAGATTCCAGATTTTCAAATAGTTGTATCTCGGCCAAATATTGTCCTATCCTAACAAACCATACATCAATGGAAAGCGTATTTATTCAGCTTTCAGATTATGTATAAATGTCAATTTCGAAAAAAAATGACCCTTCTCACTGGTTTTGTGGTCCAGGGTCACATATTAGTATGACACACTTTTGTCACATTAATAATTTTATAACTGTATTGTTTTTTTATATATATAATATATATATATATATATATATATATGTGTATGTATGTTTAAATCCTTCATTCTGTCATTGCTCTGTATTTCATCTATCGTCTCTCTTGGTCTCTCAGGTGAAGGAGTTAAAGTCTCGTATTGCTGATATGGGCTCTCAGACTCGTCCCTCTGCTGGAGTCACGATGCTAGAAAACAAGATTCAGGAGCTGGAGGACCGTTTGCGTAGTGTAGAGAGGTACAGAACTGGACAAGCACAAACACAATCGGCACAAAACTGGATATTAATCAATAAAGCATCCATGTATCCACTGTCTTTTGTGCATGTAGAGAGAAAAACACCATTCTAGCAGCTCAGAGGAGATTGGACCGGAAACTTAAAGACGTGACGGCCACCCTGGACCAGGAGCGAAGTCAACATGCTGAACAGAGAGACCAGGCAAGCACACAAACACATTTAAAGATATATGTATTTTACATGTACATTAGGGTATGTACTTGATTTACTTCAAAATAGAAAGATCTTTTTTTATGATGTTAATTATTATGCCTATAAATGTGTAGACATAGCTGTGTGTATCTAAACAGCTGCTGCGTGTTTGTGTCTCTCCAGCTGTCTCTGCGAGTGAAGGCTCTGAAGCGGCAGCTGGATGAGAGCGAGGGGGAGGTGGAGCGTCTGGAGGGCGTCAGACGGAAAGTTCTGCGGGATCTTGAGGAGCAGCGGGAGCTGCAGGAGGCACTGCAGGCCAAAGTCAACGCGCTGGAGAACGAGCTCAAGTGAGTTTTCTATCAAATATCCATACCAAATAATTAAGAATAATGTATAAATATATATATTTAATTTATGCATTTAGCAGACGCTTTTATCCAAAGCGACTTACAGTGCATTCAGGCTACACATTTTTTTACCAGTATGTGTGTTCCCTGGGAATCGAACCCACAACCTTTTATAAAGAATATATATAATTACGGTATATATATATATATATATATATATGTCTTGAAAACATTATTTAATGAATGAAAAGTTAATGAAAAATGTAGTCAGTTGTGTCACTACTTTTAGCTAGTTACATGCCACCATTGATATCAAATGTATTTAGGCCTCAGTTTTGTTGAATTAACATTTTTAAAGGGGTCATATGATACGATTTTAATTTTTTCCTTTCTCTTTGGAGTATTACAGGCTCTTGGTGCATAAAGAAGATCTGTAAAGTTGCAAAGACTAAAGTCTCAAATCCAAAGAGATATTCTTTATAAAAGTTTAGAGTCAACCACGCCTACCTAAAACGGCTCGTTCCCCAGCCCGGGGTCGTCACATGTGGTTGCCGCAAGCCCGCCGGCCGCTCCTTTGTTGAATCCGCCGGCCGTGCCGTTTTCTAGCCCGCCGCCGCTTCGGCTTTCACCGTGGACGAAGCGGAGTCCAGCTCGGGGTCGTCACATGTGGTTGCCGCAAGCCCGCCGGCCGCTCCTTTGTTGAATCCGCCGGCCGTGCCGTTTTCTAGCCCGCCGCCGCTCACTCTAGCCTGCCGTGTGTGACGTTGTGAAAGCGAAAATACTTTGTTTGGCCTTCCAAAAGAGGACACGACTAGAAATCAGTGGTTAAGTTGTATTTACAACACTGTTCCAGAACACTTCAACCCAAATATTCAGATGTGTGCAGCACATTTTATGGAAGACTGTTTCCTGATCCTGGTAGAGTAGACTACAATGCCGGCAAACTCACAGACTGTAAGTACGTTTTCATATTTAAAGGATTTGCCACTGATGATTCAAACGCGAGTTTTGAGCAGTGTAGAGTAGAGCTTGTTGTTTGCCATTTCTCCAATCACAAATGCAGACATGGTTTTATGTTTACACGGCGCTATGCAACGCATAAAAAGACAGTATAAGTCATTATAATCCGTAATTATGTCCCCACTGGATGCAACAAATGCCTGGTTTATAATGGGTTTTAATGTTTTTGTCTCATCACTCCGGCCGGGACACTGCATCACAGTATGGTAGGGGCGTAACATTTCCGTCACACGCTTGAGGTATTCGGCCAATCACAATGCACTGGATAGCTAGCCAATCAGAGCACACCTCGCTTTTCAGACCAATGAGCTTCGTAAAAATTGACGTTTCAGAAAGGCGGGGCATAGAGGAGAAATTAATAATGTACAGTATGTGGAAAATAATGTTTTTTTTAACCTTAAACCACATAAACACATTTCATTACACCAAATACACAAAATAATGTTCTTTTTTGCAACATCATATGACCCCTGTTTATTAACATTCTGGCCACTAGAGGGTGCACTTACAATGCTAAACTATTAACAACAGGCTGATATATATGACTGATATTGGTCTATTATAACGTGTGTGATTTGATTGTTTGTTAGGAGGAAGGTTCAACAATCACGACGCCCAACTCTGGGAAGCACCTTGAGTTCTGAGGAAGAGGAGAGTTACTCAGACTCAAAAAGCATCACGTCTATTCTCACTGAAACGCCACTTCAGACCACCAACTGTTAAAGCCTGAACGAGAGAGGGGGAAAATTTGTTTTTGCACACATTTGATTTGAGTTTTCTAGTAAATGTAAAAATAACAGAAGAGACATGAAGGATACAAATGGTGTGGCATCAACACAGTCTGTAAAAAAACGTTTTTGGAGGGCTGGTGTTTTCAACAAAAAGTGATATCAGGTGTGTTTTTACAGTGGTTGATGAGATAGATGGGGTTGAAGGCCTAATAAAGCAGTCAGTGTGAAGATTTGTCAACCAAAAGCTCCTTTAGTATTGTTTTGCTAAAACTGGTTAATTCTGAAGCAGAATTGTTTGTTCTTACTCTGTTTATGAGTGTCGTTTATTTTAGGAAGACTCTTTTTTTGTATAAAATGTTATGGTTTTTGACATCCTTAATCATATTACCGAAATTAAAAATCAATGAAGGATTTTATCTTTACACATGAATGACATGCAATGTCATTTATAAAGGTGGAATTTGACATATTTTACTTTAACTCGAATTATTTTGAATCCTTAAAATGATAAATGAAACACTGTGGTAAGTGTTCTCCTTATCATCTTTAATGTTACACACTAGTGCAAATTACAATGAAGGATATTTAGAAGGCTTCTTTTTGTGTTGCTTTAATTTGAGAATTAAACTTGCACTATGAATGACACCTTTTGTGCCAAGACAGAAAAAAGAAAAAAATCTTTTGATGTAATGGCATTGAAATATTTGCCTTAATAAAAAATAAAAAAAGCTAATAAAATATAAGCTGCTTTTTTGATCATTTTACCAGAGACCTATATGTGCTGTACTGTATATTCATATTTATCACAATGTATTTACCTCCCATATAATAATTTGTAACTCTTAAAGATGTGATTTGAAACATAATTGCATAATACACTGTACAATATTAGATCTGTATATACTGTCCCATGTTTAAAGTTTATTCTTCCACTACACATTAAAAGTAACTGTTGTCACATTACTTTGATGTGTTTTCATTTTACTTCTAAATTTTCTAGTAATCCTGCATCTCTCCTTTATGTCGGATATTTCTCAGCTTCAGTCAGTGTCATATTCAGCATTTTTGTTTTTACCATAAACGGCAAACATTTTTATTCATCATAGACTGTAATATGGGTTTAGCCTTAAAGTAAACCATTTTTTTATCATACAGAATTGCAGTTATTGGTGTAGAGAAACGTTTTCCCCATTAATGCTTCAAAAAATGAAACACCTGAGCGCAGTTTTAGTACAGCTCAATAAATTGTAAACTGCTTGTACATGTGTATGGATAAGCGCTATATATGAAGAAAAAGACCAGTGTTTTCAGCTCTAAAATATTAGACTGCAGAGACCAAATAATAAAGAACAAGAATGTTATTTTCTCAAATCAAGACCATTATTGTTTTTCTTTAAAAGTCTAATTGTAAAAGTATATTCAGTTAATGCTTATTGTCTTTTCATTGTTGTTCACTCATATTAATTTTTTTACATTAAATTCTACACATTAAAATGGCAAGTATTTTTCAATACATAAATCATTTCATCATACACAGAGTACGAGATTTGTTTGAGTCCGTGTGTGTATAGTACAATGGAAAAGATATCACTCCGCTACTTTAAAGCCTTTAATGTGCCACAAAGGTTATTTACGGCATTACAGAAGATCATTCATTCTTTCCATCCAAACAATGTTTGATAGGTATATAAAAACAGAAAAATATCTCTTGATTTTTGTCAGCTTAAATTAAAAAAAAAAGTGTTATTAAATACACACATTTAGTAGTAGACAACAATGCAGTTACGCAGTTTTAACAAAATTGTTGAAAGCTCTATTCGTGATTCCATAGCTTGTTTATTCATTTCTATCATTCAACAATCACTGGTTATCTAAAGAAAAGTTCCTTTACAATATTTTACATCCCTATAAGCCAGGCTTTATGTTTTACTTTTTATATTTCCACAGTTTATCTATATTGTCCATTTGTTTTTTGAATGTCTCATTTTGAATGTATCTTCCAAACTTTTATTTGCCTGATGTATAGAGATCCTATACCAATCAGCAGGGATGTCTGCTGGTTTTAAACTGAATCTCTTTGCAAATTTCATGTTGTACTTAGCAAAGCTATACTTCCAAAAATCAGTGGCTTCAATAGAAGTGTCAGGCTGTGTCCTCCAGTCTGGATAGATCTGTCTGTATTCCTTGTGTGGATACCACTGATATCCTGTGTCTTTACAGCGGAATGACAATTCACTAGCAACATTAGATGAGCATATGTCAGGAACTAGGTTATAGGTTTCAATCCAACTGTAGTAACCAATGCCTTGTGGCCGATGGATAGAGACTAAATGATTTGTATGCTTTTTTCCGCCAGCTTCACGATGTGCACTGCAGAATGGACACTTCTTCCCGCAGCCAAACACTCTGCTGAAGAGCACCTGTTGAGGTTTGTTCACTGAGAGTCTGGTTAGCTTATGTCTTACATTCTTTTCATCACGTAGCTGATCTTCTAAGCGTTTATGCAGTTTTTCGATTGATGATTTAAAGCAATCTATAAACTCGGCAGGGTTCGAGTTGTTTAAAGCCAGACTTGCATTGAGCGCGTCACTTGGTATGACCAACTCTTTATTAAGACTTCTGCAGACATAGGTCACAAAACTGCTGATGTTGTTGCAGATGTCTGCCTTGCTCTGTGCACTTTCAACAGCTTCCTTGAGTTTGTTGATGATTACATTCAGATGTTTAATTTCCAACTTCGAAAGAGCCCCTTTCTTTGAAAAATGTTCAGTGATCTTCTCTGAAATCCACTCAGTTACATATGTTTTATAGTGGTGTACGTACTCCAGAATATTGTTGAAGTTATCATCCAAAAATAACCTTTTTTTTAAAAGCGAAAACTGGAAAAATGACCATGTGCTAAAATCAAGGCCTCTTTCACCTGACAACATTTCATCCACAATGTCAGGTCCAAGACGTTTCTGGATGTATTCCATCACGGCAGGGGTGAAGCATTGCCAGACACACATCTCTGCTTTGTTCTGACACTGGTCTCGTTGGTGGTAGAGGTCTTTATAGTCAGCTAACCATTGGTCCTTGAACCGTTCAAGAGGTTTCAAAGGGTCAGTTCTCTGTATGTAGTCGTCAAGCATTTTCTGGAAAGCTCTTGCTGCGTTCCCGCAGATGTGGATCTTGAGAGCTGCTTCAATTTCAGGGGTTGTCTCTGGTTCCTTGCAGCTTTCCAAATTCTTGTCAATGGAGCACAACAGTTCTTGTATGTCAGCACTATTGTAGTCTGATTTTGGTTCCGTCTTATTTGTAATGTTTCGTTCTGATATATTATTTTTTCACATGCCAATTGTATTAACCTGTGTTTTTTATTCCTCTCTGCAGGCCGCAGAGAACCTCTGAGTCTTTTTTAAAAAATCTGTTTTTACAACTGCAAAAAAAGGTCTAGTGCCACACTGATCTAAACTGGTGTTTTTTGATAGCATCTCTCGTACTTCTCCACTTTTCATTTCCAAGTTATTGTGTAACAGTCTGTATGTCTCCTTCACCACGTCTTGCCTTGGTAGAGCAGTAAAGGAATTCTCTTTCAGAATGTCATTCCATGTTTTTTTCAAATTCCTCATTCAGTTCACTCTCGGAGAGTACATTTGTTCTATTCCTGCAGACTTTGATCAAACCAAGCACTTTGTCTCTCAAGGTGTCCCTCTGCTTTTGCTTTATTTCTTCCACCTTTTCTATTCCCTTTTGTTTCAAAATAGCATTCTCAAATTTGATCCATATATCAGTCTCAACCTCTCTTCGAAGTCCCCGTGCACTATTAAAAAAGTCCTCCTTGTGATTTTCGACAAGATGCGCATGTTCCAACTCATTTTCAAAGTATTGCTGAATCGTATCTAAAAGTTTTTTTTTCGTATATAAAACTCATTATCAGCTTCACATTTTAAAGCAGCCAATATTCTATCAAGATTAACGGCACTTTCTGACTGCTCAGACATTACACCCATGTTGGAGATTTTGGTTTCAGACTTTGTGTACGAGTCAGTCATGTGCTTCTTGAAGGCCCATTCCCAAGTGTTAAACTCACCACAAAGTTTGGAGTACGCTTCAGTGATGAGGCTGTTGTGAAAACTGAAAATTAAGTTTTCAAATTGGACAACCTTCCAGAGACTTCGAATCCATTCTGCAAATGCCATGAAATCCTGTGCTGGTAATTTTGTTTTCTTCAAAATGTCAAGAATGCCATCCTTAAAGTTATTCACCTCCTCGCTGTAACCAGTGTTAACAGGTGCCATTGGAGGAGTTCCAAGCCACAATCCAGGTATGTACCAATTGTTTCCATCAATGTTATACTCTAGAATGTCTGTAAATTTCTTTTTGTTGCCCCTTTTCTCCATTTTAGCAGCTGCTTGTGTCATTTCATCTAGCTGCTGCAAGAACATCTTTCTCTCTCATGCTTTCTTTTCATGCACAGCAACCTCTGCAGTGTTTTGGTGCACAAAATGACAACAGGGCTTTTCCCCCACCTCCTTTATGCGGAGAAAGGCATGGACAACAATTTGCAAAGTGTCTTTCATTTCTGTAGCATTTTCCATGGAAATGTTGACTATAGTAATGTCGCTCAATCCAACAACCAGGGTCGCAAGTTTATTATCATGCTCGTAACTATCAGCTAGTTTCGCCAGCTCTAGAGATTTTAATCCTTCAGTGACAATTATAAGGATATAGTCACACCGAAGCTCTGATCTGAATTCCTCAGATACGCCAATTAGAAGCATGAAGGCGACTCTTGTGCATCTGCCACTGCTAACTGCAAACTGAACTCCAAACATTGTGTTGAGGAGAGTTGACTTCCCAGAGCCTTGGACTCCTAAAATGGTTACAACTCGTATCCTGTTGTGAGGTGTTGTCAGTGTGTTAAGTGTCGTAAGCACATCTCCAATCCACGTCAGTGGAATATTTGAAGCATCTCCATCAATAAGTTCTAAAGGAAATCCATTTAGCATTAACTGAGCACAAATTTCTGGCCGTTTTTTAAGGGGAGAATGGTTCCAGTTTCCTTGGAAGTGTGCAGACACATAGAGTTGACTTAACTCTCTTGTGAAGTGTTGGATTCCTAAAGAGCTGCTGGCAATCTGATTATCCAGATCTCTGAGGCGTTCTTTATCTTCTGTGGGATTCCTACATATTTCCCTATACTGCTTGTCAAGTTTGGATATGTGCTTTCTTGTTAGACTGTCCAAATGAATTTTCATCCATTTGAGAAAATACAGCTGTTCATTCCAGGAGCAGCACAAACCAGAGATGAATTTAACTATTGCTTCTCTCATGTCGTTGCTTCCTTGTTCCATTTTTAGATTATAGATTTTACTTTTAAGTTCACTCTTGTATTGCTCAATGTTTTTTTCTGTGCCTTTCTGAGTCGACACGTCTCTTTCTCCAGTTTGGATATCTCTTTTAATGGTTTCCCTTGCAAAGGCAGTTCTATCATTTTATATTCAGGTATACTTCCAATGTCTTTTGTGATTTTGGCTGCCTTTATCTTTGCATTTTGACAAATGCCGTCATTCTCATCTACATCAATCCCCAGATCTGGTGCAATCTTTGACATCTTTCCGATGCTTACGTTTGAAGAATCTGCAAGTATTTTAGCAACAGAGTGAATCAACAAATTCATCATCATTCATCTTTCCATGCTTGAGGATTACGGAGTCTGTTTTGAGCTTCATCTGTGCCAAACTTTGTTCCAAATTGTTTCTTGAGTTTTGATCATTTGTGGTACAAACCAGAACCAATTTTGATCTGAGTTGCAGGGAATTCAGAAATGCCTGGTTTGAGTCCAAATCATCACAGAACAGAAAAACTGCAGAGGACGTTTGGCTCAGGAAGGCAAATTGGACCTCAAATTCAGAAACATCGCCACGGAGATTAGCCATGGCTAC